TTCGGATGCAAAAACTTCTAAATGCCATCTGAAATGTTCTTGTAAAATGAACATTTTTATCAGGCTCCTATGTGTAGGTTCAGTAATTTTACTTAAGTCTTTAAATTAAAATAAATCAACATAAACAAAGGAGGCTGAGAAAAATATTAATGTTTGACTGGAATTTTAGATGGCATTTAATAGTTTTTGCATCTGAACTCTTCCTATATGCCCTATAAAGATTAATTATATGGTAATTAATTATATAAAATGTATAATATAAATATATATATATATACCCTCAAAAAATATCTGTCACTGTTAATCAGTGTAATTTTATATTTATTAACGTTAAAACAACAATACAGGACTCTAAATGCTGTATAAGTCACCAACAAACACAAAACTGAAGCTACTGGATTAATTAAAATGAGTGGTATAAATCAAAACAGGTCTTCCTCTTAGATAAGATAAAGCTGAAGAAGTGAAAGTGGCAGAAGTGTGTATCGTTGAGCGCTTCACACACCTACACACACACGCACAGGCCGTTCAGTGGGCAGAGAGCAGGTATACTGTACAAACTGAGCGGATGAATAAAACAGTGTTAGTCGATCTGTCATCTGCTCATATCTTTATGCATGTTAAGTATCTTCATTTCCCTGTTTGTGCCAAGTCGCTTGTGTGTGTGTGTGTGTGTGTGTGTGTTTTTACTAAGAATACGGCTTATCGTCTTGCAGCGTTCAGTGGAAGTGTGGGAGAAAGATGTCACCTCACTTGTTTCTGGAAAATGTCATCGGATGAGAAAAAACAACGCAGAGATAAGAACTGGATAGGTGCGCCGGCGGTCGGTTTGAGCTGGTTAGAGAGAGTGCCGTGTTTGGATTTGTAATCTAAATGATCGTGATTAGTTCCTGATAAGCTCTCCTTTGTTTACTACCCGCTCCAAATGTGTTTGGAATAATTGGCGTGACGCGTTTTTGAAGCCGTTGATGAGTTGCATTAAAACTCTACAGACCGACACAGCGGCACATCTGTTGGGATATAAGTTGCATTTAGTAACGCAGAGCTTGTCAACTCCACCTCTTGTGATTGTGACCTGGCTGTAGAAACCAGAAAACGAAATATATTAATAACTCTTGATTCATGTCTGCGTGCAGTATTTAGAAAGCTCAATCACATTTAATGGGAAGTGGTATTATGTATTGACACGGTGGTTAAGTGGTTAGCACTGTCTCCTCACAACAAGAAGGTCACTGGTTCGAGTCCCGGCTGGGCCAGTTGGCATTTCTGTGTGGAGTTTGCATGCTCTCCCCATGTTGGTGTGGGATTCCTCTGGGTGCTCCGGTTTCACCCACAGTCCAAAGACATGCACTATTGAATTGAATCAGCTAAATTGGCTGCAGTGTGTGTGAGTGTATGGGTGTTTCAGAATACTGGGTTGTGGCTGGAAGGACATCCACTGCATAAAACATATGCTGGAATAGTTGGCGATTCATTCCGCTGTGGCGACCTCTGAAATAGAGACTAAGTAGAAAGAAATTGAATAAATGAATGATATTAATATTGTTTATATAATATTGATATATAATATT